AAAAAACCAGTTGACTGAGGACATGACTTACCTTTTCATATGCCGTCTAGGAGGCGGTGGAGCTTTGCGAACTGGCACTAATACGCCATGCAAATTCAACGTTTTCCTCATGTATTCCCAAAACCTAATTTCAGAAAAATTGATCAAGTATAAAAGCGAAACAAACAGTGACTGTTTACAGAGGAAGGCCAAAGTAAAGGCGAACAAAGCTTACTCTTTAGGAAGGTTTCTCTTCTTCTTGAACCAGTAAAAGAAGCAGACCACTATCAAAACGATTGTCGAGATGGCTAAGAGAATCAGTAGCACAGTAGAGGGAGTTATTCTTTAAAAAAAGGTGCAAGAAATGATATAGAAGATATTTTAACAAAATGAATCACTTTGAGTGCAAAGAAGAGATATAAACCAGACTAAAAAATACGTCGCTGTCTACTCACCCTCTACTGGTATTGGAAGGATTACTGTTCACAGAACCACCAAACCCTGGAATTTCGCAAGCGACTCCGCCAAAACCATTCTTACAGTGGCAATTTCCAACATTATTACAAACTCCTGGAAAGAGTCGAAGAGCACATTATACATGAAAACGAAGCCCAATACCTCTGTAATGGCAGTGATCATTACACTTCGAAACAGTTTTCGACACTTCCGTAAGGGGTTTGCATTTCGCACTCACACATATCTGCAAACTGACAATAAGAAGAGTAGACACAATATTTATGAAAAACGAGCCTTGTCATCACCACACTTGGAACCATCAAGAACCATTCCAGGATCGGGCTTATTCTTTTCCCCAACTATATAGGTCGTCTTGATGACATGGCATTGGTGAGTTTCAGAGCCTAAAGAAATTTCAGGTTAGCAACATGTTCCATTTCCTGGTTCCTTGCTTCTGCCGCGTCCAATTTACGAATGCGACGTCAGAAAATATTTCAAATTTCAATTCCGCTGTGTACATATTGTCGACTTGAAAAATTGTGCCGATGGTCTGCAATGCGACCAGTGCGCGCCGCACGG